ATTTTATCTTATCCTAACATTCTTCTTCAGTGCTGTCATGGTCAGCTGCTAGCCTGCTATATTGCCACAGGTTTCAAAAGTTATTCTTCTGTTGGGGGTTTTTAATTGTTTTATGGTTGGAAAACTTAGTCTGTGCTGCTGTTCTGGAAGTAAGGTAATGCTGTGAGCTTCCTGTCTTGTTTTGTGGCCGATGTCTGTGAGTGTGTCATGTGTGCTTGGAAATGGCCTGTGCGATGCGCTCTGGGGTCTAAAGTCATAAGCACACATGTATAGGAGTACAGTTCGGTCTTACTGCTAGTCATCCCTTCATCTTCGCCTTTTGCTTTCTTCTTCGTCTATTAGTGTCTTAGAGCAGAAAGTTTTCTCTATAAGGGTCAGTTTTTCTATTTGTACGTGTTCTGTAGTTGTTGCTCCAGACTTGAGTGCATTCTAAGATGGGTGTCTATTGGTAATCATTCTGATTGTTTTTGTCAGCATGTGTGTCTTGGTTTCTGATGTTACCTGGCTCCTTTAGCTTCCTTTGGTTTGCATTTGTTGTTCCTTTGTCCCTGCCCTTCTCTTTCTTTCATGTGTGTTTGATAACTGTCATTTAAAAATCATATATGAAAGTCCATGTCTTCTTATTGGTGCATTTTAAATACCTTTTAGTTGCATGTGCTGCTTTTTGTTCAGTTGGCATTTTGGCAATCTGTTCCCTTACACTTTAACTAAATGTTTTGCCTTCTTTTTCTTCATATTTCTAACTGTTGGATATAGGTGAACTTGCCTGCTATACATTTTATCTTTTAGTTTTCTTGTTTGTTTGTTTGTTTGTTTGGAGATAGGGTCTCACTATGTAGCCCTGGCTGTCTGCAAACTCATTACGTAGACCATGCTGGCCTCCAACTCCAAGAGATCCACCCGCCTCTGCCTCCTGACTGTGAGTCACCACTGCCTGACATTTTTTTCCATTTTTAAAAATTGTATGTGTATACGTGTTTTGTCTGCTGTGTGTTTGTGCACCACATGCGTGCAGTGCTTATGGAGGCCAGAAGGGGGCATCAGGTACCCTTGAAGTAGAATTTCAGACTTTTGTGAGCTGCCATGCGGGTGCTAGGGCTCAAACCCAGGTCCTCTGGAAGAGCAGCCAATGCTTTTAAACCAGTAGTCATCTATCTGCCCTTATCTTTTAAGAGTGAACTCAGGCGGTGGGAGAGGAAGCACACACTTGCGCCACCGTGTGCAGTGGAGGTCGGAGTTCACCTTTTCCAGTCATTTCTCCTTCCAGCTTGCTTTGGGGAAGTCTCCTTTACCGTTGCTGCCACTGTTACTGTTCCAGGCTAGGTGACCTGTGCATTCTGGCTAATTCTCCTGTCTGTACCTCCTGTCCATGCTGGACTTGCCTTACAGATGCATGTGTCTGCATTTAGCTTTTTATGTGGGATCTGGGTCTTCAGGGTTTTGTGACAAGTGCTTTTACTAGGTGAGCCATCGTCCCAGGCTGCATTTCCTACTGGGGGAGCGGGTGTCTGTAACTCATCAACACCCTTTCTTTAGTCTTCCCACTTAACTCATTCACTGCCATTCTGTATGTTCCTTCCTACCCTACTTATCTTGATAATCACATCCAATTCTTTACTTTAAAATTACCCTGGACATTTTCTGTGTCATGGGCCTATGTAGAAAGTTATGATGGTATGTATGCTTTAACTCCCACGTGTAACACAGCACTTTTGCATTTATTTGCCCATTTCTCACTGCAGTGTTTCCTCCCAGGGAGTTTTGAATGAAGGAGTTCACATGCTAGGAAACTTTTGAGAACTTGGGCAGTTGGGCACAATTTTCTTCTTATACTGAATCGCAGCCTGCCTGTTAAGTCTATCTTCAGAGGTTTCCCCTTCACATGTTGGAAATATTAATTCCTTGTCCCCTAGTCTGGTATTTCTAGGAAGACATTGGTTGCAGTGGGCTCCTTAGGAGACATGTTCTCAATGGAAGCTTTTAATAGCCTTGTTTTCTTTGGTATTTATAAATTTTGTGACAACTATGAGTGAGTGTGTTTTCCTCAGCTGCACGTTTGGGACACCAGGTGGTTGGTTGTTGCTTCTGTGCTCTTTAATAACGCATATTTCTCAGCCATCGTTTCCAAAGATGCCCCTCAGCTCTTACTCTCCTACAGGGGCTCCTGCTGAGCGGGTGCTGGTCCTTGGCATGTGTCCCTGCCACCCTCACTTTTCTCTTCCTAATTTTGCTTGAGTTTTCTGTTTCTTGAACTTGATCTTTTAGATTATCAATTTGTTTTGAATCGTATTTGTCTCACTAGCTAGCTCTACCTGTTAAAGCATAGCTACAGATCAAGAGAATGCTTTCTGAGTTTCAGAAGCTTTTGTCTCTAGGATAGGTATATCCATGCCAGTTTATGGACTTGCTTTTGACAGTTTGGGACCTAGTCCACGTGATGCACTTGGAGCAATACTATTTATAGTAAGCAGGGGCTGATTTTCTCTTCATATACGTAATAATATATATATATATATATATATATATATATGTTCTTTTTCTCTTCATGTCAGTACTTTCCTGGACCTTTGTAACTAAATGCCCTTGTTCATGTTACTAGTAAAAAAACTCCACTGTTATTTTAGGGCTACTTATATTTTTTGGGACATCTGTCACATCAGTGTTCTTAGTTTTCTGTCTGTTGCCTCTGCTTTCTCTCACTGTCACAGGCAGTCCAGCCTGTTGTCTTTGTTTGAGTGGGTCTAGTCTCCAGATGTCGAATTATTGTTTTCTTTGAATACATATTTCCTGGGAGGGGTGGGTGTCCGCTTCCTTGTGTATCGGTGTTTATACATTAGAGAAAGGGTTGCTGTGTAGATCAGTGGTTGAGTGGTGTGCTGCTCCAAAGCCCTGGGGTCAATCCCCATACACGCACACACGCACACACACACACACACACACACCATGTATACACATAAGCACACACACATAGGCACACCACACACACCAATACATACCAGTGCATACCACAATGCACATACACACACACACACCAATACATACCACACATGCACATATATATACATACACCAATATATACCACAATGCACACACACACACCAATACATACCAATATATGCCACAATTCACATACACCACACATATACAACACATGCATTCCTGTGCACACACACACACACACTCTTCCATAAGAATTTGATAGGGAAAGGGCTGATGGGAATACTAGAGGGAAAGACTGGTCTTCGGTAGGATTTAGGGAAGACAGGCAGGGAGAGCTCTGGCCTGCTCTCCCACGGGCTGTCCCTACCACACTGGGCACACTGCCTCACAGTGCCTCTCTCCCCGTCTTGCACCCAGGCCTGTGTTTTCTAGGCTCCACTTTCCTCCGTGGTGACACCTCACTGTGGTTGTGGGTGCAAGGAGCTGCGAAGGCTGCCAGATGGAAAGGAGGTGGCCAGTGACAGTGTCCTGCCCTCACCAACACTGGTTCCTGCCCTCCACCACCTGCCGCTAAATCTTTGGTTCCGTGGCCCCCTACCCTCGTTCTGTATAGCTTTTGCTGCCAGCAGAGCTCAAGTCCCCCGAAGGAGTGGCAGAAAAAGCTGCATAGCACCACCTGCCAAAGCCCTCCCTGAATTCTCTTGTGGACGTAGGCTTTCTTGCTCTCTGCGCATGTCTGCCTGCACACCTGTTCAACAGGGCTCCTTGCCAGCTCCGTGTCTGCTTCTTGAGTCCATGTTTCTTTCCCTTGCAATCTTATAGAGTCTGTGTCAGGAGAGGAACCTAACTGTCCTTGTCAGTTCTCTTTTTGTCTGCCTTTCTTCCGTTCTTCTGTCCTTCCTCCCTCGCCATCTCTCTCTCTTTTCTTTCTTTCTTTCTGCCCTCCCTCCCTCCCTTTTGATACACATTCTTCCTATAATGAAATCCACATATATGACTTCTTTTTCGCATACATATGCATGGTACTCATGTATCATGTGTTCACATGTGTGAGTGCACACATACTCATATGTTGGAGATCTGAGGTTACTGTAAGGTGTCTTCCTTGATCACTCTCTGCCTTATGTATTGGGGGGGTGGTCTCACATTTAAACCCAGAGCTCAGCCATTCAGGTAGTCTGGCTAGCCAGGTTGCTCTACCTCCCCTGTGCTGGGAGTATAGGCAGGCTGCATGTCCACCTGGCTTTATTATATTTGTTCATTCATTGAGACAGAGAGAGTCTGTTTGTATGGGGGTTTGTGCACGCTACTATATATTACAGAGGTTAGATGACAATTTTGGTGAGCTAGCTCTGGCTACCATGTGGGTCTTGGGGACCAAACTCAGGTTGTCAGTCATGACTACAAGCGCCATTATTTGCTAAGCCACCTCTCTGGCCCCACCCAGCTTTCGTCCTGCATGTTCTGGGGCCTCTGAACTCCAGTCTCCCTCTCACAGATGTGGCAAGCACTTTACCTACTAAGCGTCTCCCCGCCTGACAGGATGCTTTTTTAAAACAAAAACACTAGATCATGTGTTTAGGTAGCTACGCAACTTGGTTCATCTTCGTTTCACACTAGAGGATTAAGTGAACGAAATAAACTTTCAGAATAAGAAAATTGTGTTTGGAAGCCAGCTTGTGTTCTCAACAGTCTAATAAGGCTTCCTGTAGTGTGGGAGTACTGACATTGTGTCAGCGAGTTACCGCTTTGCTAGGAAACCCATAGCTCCTTGTCATTGTGTGTGTTTTCAAATGAGACTTGTCCTATTAAGATGTTAGTTCATTCGAAGCCAGCTGGCATTGGACAGATGTTAGATGAGGACCCTGCATCGTGTGTGTGACAGGACAGGCAACATTGTAGTTAAGAGCTGTGGGAGAAAGCTCACAATAAGTTCATGATATAAAGCAAATATGTTTGTCAGGAAGTAAGTCTTAGGCTCCTTCACAGGCAGAAGGAACCCCTTGGGACTTTTGTCTTTGTTCCACTTACGCTTCTTATGTTTTCTGTCCACGATGAAGATGAACAGCAGTCATAAGGGACTACTGCCAGAGCCAAATCCGGTCCAGATCATGAAAAGTTTGAACAATCCTGCCATGTTACAAGTTCTTCTGCAACCCCAGCTGTGCGGACGAGCAGTTAAACCAGGTGAGCACCACACATCCTGCTTGGGCGCAGACGTTGGCATGAAGTTCCTCGTGCCGCACTGTAAGAAGTGCACTGTGAGGTTCAAAGCACACTCACGCGTGTCTAACTCTCTTCTAAGAACTACTAATGATCATCAATTGGTTATCTGAAATGGTACTCTGTCTTGGCTGTTTCATAGGTACGATATTCTTCGTGTTTCCATTTTCTGTACCATTAGCAAATGTTAAATATTAAACCTTCAGTTAAGCCTTGCTTGCGGTGAACTTCTAAACCCGGTAATAATGGCAAACCACTGCTCTGCCAGTCCGGGTGAACCAAGAGCATGGAACATTTCTTTGTAGTCATTTTACCTTGTGGAATATGCTGATTTATTTCTTTTGTGTTCATCTTTCTCTGTTGTACAGAACAAAATAGTTTCCCTTTGAACTAGATGACAAAAGCATCGTTCTCTTAATTATCCAGATCTGTATATTGTCACTGTACTTTGACTATCAAGCTATTCAGTATTTTTCTGGTATTTCCTCTGAAACAAACAACACTACATACACAGGATTTCTTTGTTAGCATTATGAGGAAATGCTGGGGTCTAGAGTAAATATATTTAGTGTTAACATTCAGTTTGTTTATTCCAGTTCAGTCCCAACTAACCTGATGCCAGTTCCCACACTAAGCATCACAGACCCACAGATTAAGGGCACTGCCTCTGTGTGGCTGCCCCACTTAAGTCTCTGACTACAAGTTAAAGGTTCTCTAGGCTACATGAACTTCTGACCAGTGAAATATACAAATTTGGGAGTTGCCAAGACCCTTCAGTTTGAATATCTTCTTGAATCTGGACAGCTCCATATTTATGATTATAATTTTACTAGAAAGGACCTAGCAGGAATAGGCAAATGAAGGCACTTAGTATACAAGCTCCTCCTGCAGCCAGGCCGTGACGCTCTCCAGCATGTTATTGGTGTGGGTTTTTTTTTTGTTTAATATTGTTGTTGACAATTTTATATGTGTATATAAAGTATTCTGATTGCCCTTTGCTTCCCTTAATCATCCACCCCATCCCTATCACCCCCCATCCCTATAACACACACCCCATCCCCGCCACCCATACCCCATCCCTGTCACCCACACACATCCCTGTCACCCACAAATACCCCATCCCTGTCACCCACACACCCCCCTCCCCATCACCCACAAACATCCCTGTCACCCACACACACCCCATCCCCGTCACCCACACACACCCCATCCCTGTCATCCACACCCCATCCCCGTCACCCACACCCCATCCCCGCCACCCACAAACACCCCATCTGTACCTTTTCTCATACTCATGACTTTTGGTTTTGTAGTTTAATCGGACCACCCATGAGACCATTGGACTGAGACTGTCCATTGGAACCTGGTGGGGTACCAGTGGTTACACAGCATACGCCGACAAATCTCCTTCCTGAATTGATCAGTGGCAAACAGTTTATCAGCTAGGGGTAGGCAAGGCCTCCTGAGCCCATCTTCTATCCGTGCCTGATGGCGGCCATTCTTGTGCCGACCCGGCGCAGCTGAGTCTTAGCCAGGAGATGACACCTCACAGCCCTTTTCTCTGTCTTCTGGGTCTTAACATTCTTTCTCCTCCTTTCCCCACAGTGTTCCTGAGCCTTAGGGGGACGGTATGAATGCCAGTCACTTGTTCTCTATACTTTGTGGGGCCGTGAGTCTCTGCATTGCATTCGCCACCATTCACTTGAAGGAGAGGTTTCTCTAATGAAGGTTGAGAGCAGCATTTTCCTGTGGCTACAAGTAGAAATATTTAGAGAGTAGCTTGACACTGTCAGTTTGCTAAAACAAAACAAACAAAAAGCCCCCCAAAAACTAGTACTCAGTTCCCACTCTAGGGCTCATTGTCTCCCTGGCTGTGCATTTTTGACCAAGTGTATAGAATCAGGCATGGATCCCCTCCCGTGGATCAAATCTCAGATCCAATCAGAACTGTTGGCTACCCCCATAACAGGAGTGCTGCTGTTGCAAGGCATGTCTTGGCAGCCAGGTTGGTCTTGTAGCTCACAGAAGTTACTGTCTGGGTAAGACTGTTGATTCCTTCTCTCCCCTAGCAGCCTGCTTGGCTCCTTTCAGGACTATGCAAACCAGCAGCAGGGAGAAAGCTTCGACTCAGTTCTAGCTTGGCTTTCTTTATGTCATGCATCCAAGGCGTGTGGTGTATATAGTTTGCATTCCATTGTTAGGATGAATACCATAACCAAAAGCAACTTGGAGGAAAGGTTTGACAGATCCTGCTCACTGTTGGTCATTGAGGGAAGTCAGGGCAGGAACTCAAGTAGGAGCGCAGGTAGGGGCCACTGAGTGACCACGGAGGAGCACAGGAGGGGGACCATGGAGGAGCACAGGAGGGGACCACGGAGGAGCGCAGGATCACGGAGGAGCGCAGGCAGGGGCCACCGAGGGACCACGGAGGAGCACAGGCAGGGGCCACCAAGGGACCACAGAGGAGTACAGGAGGGGACCACGGAGAGACGTGCCTTCTGTTTGGCTCCTCGCCTCCTTCTCAGCTTACCTCTTCATACAATCCAGGACCACCTGCCCAGAGGTGGCCCTGCCCACACTAGGATGTGGCCCTCCCACACCAGTCATTGACCAAGAAAATGTCCCACAAGCCTGCCAACAGGACAGTCTAATGGAAGCGTGTTCTCAGTTGAAAGTCTCTCTCCAAGATGATTCCAGTTTGTGTCAATTTGACAAAAACAACAAAAAAAGGAGGTACCTCAGCCTTGGCATTGAAGGTTTTGACTAATAACTCAACAGCCTCTGGGAGTATCTTTTTCCAGCCATACAGGGACTTTTTAGGAATTGAACTTTCACGGCAGTTTTCACTGTATGGGAAACATAGCCCGCGCACACACACGCACGCACGCACGCATGCACATACCCCCTCCACACTCGTAAACCCCCCACACACACCCCAGTGTATTACCTCTAGATTTTCTGGATTGTCCTAAAGCGTGGTGTTTACAGACGTGACAGCTTCCTTTTGGTAGTCCTTCGTTCCTGTTACCACAGCATTTCTCCTGATGCAGTTCAAGACTGCGCTAGCGTTAAAGGCACATGCTGTGCTAGCAAGTCTTTTAGAAGAATCTTGTCCACACCCTTGGGTTGTGTGCATCTTTCATAACTCTGCCCATTATTATTTCTGTCTCTTCATCCAACACTGAATATTTCTACTCCACTTTCCTATTTGGATTGGTTTGTGGTCACATAAGGAGGGGGTTTTGTTTTGTTTTGCTTTTTTGATTTTTTAAAAGTCATTACATTTACATTGAATGTAAAAATTATTTTTATAGGTGATGAGTATGTGTACATAAATGCAGATCCCTGGAGCTGGAGTTACAGGCAGCTGTAGCCATGGGTGCAGGGAATCAAACTCTGGTCCTCTGCAAAAGCTGTGTGTCCTCCATCACCGAGCTGTCTCTCTGGTCCCAGGAGTATGCTTTTTTTAATGTTTAATGTTACTGTCTCTGTTTTACTATTTACACGGATGGAGACTTTTTTTTGTGCCTGGCTTTGTCTTTGTTTGGGCTGGTCGGGGAAGATTAAATCTCTGCTTCAGTGAACACAGGCCAAGCTAGAGGATGCACGCCAACTGTACTTTAGTATTTTGGACAGAGGGTGGGTTCTGGGAAGCAAACCCAAGTCTGTGCTGAGCTGCTGAACTGCACCCCCAAGTCTCTTTAGCAGACTGAAGTAAAATTGCAGTGAGGGTTTGTTTTTATTTACATTTATATTTTTATGACCTTGGGTAAATGACTGGTTATAGATTTGAGCCATGAGGCAGGTATACATTTAAGTCATAGAGGACAGTTTGCTCAGCACCCTGACTCATTGTTGTGTATGGTACTTTTTAATTTGAGCCTTTTTAGTGAGTGGGCAGGTATGTGTTAACTTGGTGTGTTGCTGTTCTTGTTTCTGGATATGGACTCACTACCTAGTTGGGAATACAGGCATGTGACATGTAGTCTTCCTACTAGCTTCCTGGGTCCCGCAGCTGTCTCAGCCCCCAAATAACACACGAAACACTGTATTAATTATGAAGCTGCTGGCTATTTGCTTGGTTTCTTATTGGCTAGCTCTGACTTAATTATTAACCCATAACTGCTAATCCGAGTATTTCCATGTGGTCTTCTCTTACAGCGAAAGGGTCCAGACCTCTTACTCCTCTGGTGGTCCTACATTGTGACTGACTCTGTCTCTGTGTCCCAGAATCATCCTCGACTCCTAGTCCCACCTATCTTGCTTCCCTATTGGCTAACAGTGCTTTATTTAATCAACTAATAAGACAACATATACACAGAAGGACTTCCCACATTGTATCCTCTTTTCTGTCTAAATAAAAAGAAAGGTTGTTACGAGAAGCTTTTTCTTTGCTAGCCGCTTTGGTTTATCCCCCGCCAGCCGCCTGGGCTCTGCCGCATTGTAGCCCCCAAATAAACACACAGGAGGCTATATTAATTATGAAGCTGTTGGCCTTGCTTGTTTCTTACTGGCTAGCTCTGACTTAAGTAATTACCCCATAATTGTTAATCTAAGTATGTCTCTTACCGGAGAATAGTTCCGGGCTCCTAACCCATGGCGTTACATCTCGAACTCTCCTGTGTTTCTCCTTCCCAGAATCCTCCTGGGCTCCACCTATCTAGATTCCTATTGGCCAGCAGTAATTTATTGACATATACACAGGACTTCCCCAACAAAAGGTTTTAACTTTAGTGTAGTCAAATTATATATAACAGAACAGTTACCAAGTAAGAACAATAGTTGCAATATTTAGTCCATTAACATTTAGTAAAATTTAAAGAAAATATCATCTAACCTATCTTCGTGGGCCTAAAGTTTTATATATGTAACATATCTTTAATCCTAACTAAGGAAAACTATAACTATCTGTCTTCAACTCCATCAAAGACCACAGAAGAATAATATATAAACTCTAGAATTGACAGAGACATCTCGCTACCTGGACAGTCACCCAAAGTTACCTTGTAACGTTGGGTCATCCATCTTCAGGCCATAGGCCACATTGTGTCTGGCAGACTTCTCAGCAAAGCAAGAAATTTTTAACTGTCTGCATTGGCAGTTTGTCAGTCATTTTTCTGTGTCCTGCAGAATGTCTGGCAGACTCTTCCATAAAGTAGGAACCTTGTAGGACTGTCCAAGTTCAGTAGTCACTTTCCTGTGGGTCCTGTATGTCCAGTTTATACAACATAGTCAAACAATCCAGGCAGGAGCAGTTTCTTGCCTAAATGGCTAATCTTGCCATGTTGAAAGCAAATTCCATAAGGAGTTTCTTCGATGTCAATCTTCCTTTCAGATATAATTGGTGTGCCAGGAAGTACTAGTGTCTCACTGTCATGAAAAACTCTAAACCATTTAAATGCTATATTTTCTGGGTCTTTGGAAGGTTTGAAGAACCTTCTTGAATACATCTCTGTATATCTAGAAAACCTAACTTACCTAACTATAAGTTCTTACTATTATAAGTATCTATAATCTGTATTTAATTATACATTACGTTTTAAAAGATCAGTATAAACACAGTATGTAAACAAGAGGAGAAATATACATATCACAAAATTGACCTTAAATTTGTATCAGTAAATGAAAATTCATACCAATACAAAGTATTCATTTCTATATCATATTCCCTTTTTTCCCTTTAGAAATAGATTGACCATGATCATTACCATTTATAACCAACTCTATATAAATGAAAACAAACATTTAAACAATATTTGGGAATGTGGGCATTGTTCTTTCCAAACTGCTTCCTGCTTGTTGGGGGCACTGTGCATACCATGGGGATCATGACAAAACACAGAAACCTGGCTGAGTCCTTGCTTTTTATAAGGCTGCATCATCTCAGCTGTTTTAGATGCTGGACTGCCTGGGACATTGCTTCAGGAGGTCTTGCTTCATCAAACCATAGAAGTCTGGAAGGAATCCACAGCTTTGCATTTTCTGTGGAAACACAAATAAGATCTCCTTTCCAAAGTAACATATCTATCCCTAATACTTAAATTTTGAAGTCAAGGCATTTTCAAAAGATATAAGTTGGATTAATATAGCAGCATTTATAATCAAGCATATTTTAGCAGTTGTTCCTTCCTTAACAATTGAACAACTGAAAAACATAATAGGATATAGTATCCAGACTCTCTCTGTATTTTCCATCTTTATGTGGCTTTTTATTTATCTATTATTATTACTCTATTTCTTTTACTTTTATTTATTTTTTTTCTCTGAGACAGGGTTTCTCTGTGGAAATCTGCCTGCCTCTGCTTGCTGGGATTAAAGGCATGTGTCACCAAAGTCTAGCTTCTGTTATTTTTTTTAACCACTGTCCTGTTTCTTTATCTCTCCCAAGCATACATATATTTTTTAACACATTGTAAACCTTTTAGTGGTTTTACTTCATCTGAATCTGACTTTACTGTAAGTCTTTATGATTTTTCTGGCCATGTGTCTGTTATCTGCTAAACAACATTGCTAAAATCAAAGCGACAGCGGCTGTTTTAGCTGCTGACTTTCCAACATGGAGGGTGTAAACTTACCGCCAGCACTGGGAGCTGTGCTCACCGCCTTAGTCTATGCCTACATCAAGCAAATGCTGGCTGCCGGCTTGGAGATGTAGTCACTGCCACTGCCAGCTGCTCGTACACACCATTCTTGTTTGGTCGTGGGGCCTCTTAAAAGAGCCCTGCAGTTTCTTGCCACTTCTGTTGAGTCAGGAAGACTCCCTTAAGGGAGCCGCGTAAGTCTCTGCTTGTCTCTAGCAAAACAGAGCTTACCTGAGAAAAATTCTGCTACCAAGAAGCCGTGCTTGTCTTTGTTCTTTAGCTTCTAAAATGCCTTTTAAACTTTTGTCATTCTACATGGAAAATCACTTCTGACACCATATGTAACATATAGTCTTCCTGCTAGCCACCTGGGTCCCACAACTGTCTCAGCCCCCAAATAACATATGAAGCACTATATTAATTATGAAGCTGTTGGCCAGTTTGCTTAGTTTCTTATTGGCTAGCTCTGACTTATTAACCCATAACTGCTAATCTGAGTATTTCCATGTGGTCCTCTCTTACCAAAGAAAGGGTCCAGATCTATTACTCCTCTGGTGTCCTACATTGTGACTGATTGTGCCTCTTTCCCTGAATCCTTGACAACCAGTCCCTCTTATCTTGCTATCCTATTGACCAACAGTGCTTTATTTAATCAACCAATAAGACAACATATACACAGAAGGACTTCCCCCATCACAGGCATGACTTAGTGTTTGTTGTGTTGTGTGTACAATGTGAAAAGCTATTGCCAGGACCTTTTCTGAACTGTATGTGTATTAGATGCAATTAATCATGTGTTTCCTATTTCATGGTTCTTATTTCTCTGTATATTATCTATTCTGAAAATATCTCTTCTGAAATGTAGGTGATGTTTGGGCTCAGAATTAAGAGTGTAGTTACCCTTTATTCCTCATATCTCAATATACAGTTTGTTTCTTTGAAGATGGGGCTTCACTGTTTATTTCTTGCTGGGCTGGAACTTGTTGGGTAGACAGAGCTGGCCTCAAACTCTCAGAGACCTACCTGTCTCTGTCTCTGAGTGCCAGAATTCAAGACATGAATCACTTAGCCCTGTTATGTGTAGTTAGGTTGCATCTTTTTTGATTTTATGATGTAAGACTTTCTACATATGTATATTATCGTCTGTAAAGGAGTTTTCATAAGGTTTTCAAGGATAAGGGTTGCATCTTGTCTCTTGCCCTACCTTCTGACAAAATTCTCCTAAATACTTGATAAGAGGGAATTAGGGACTAGAGAAATGACTCAGTGATTTAGAGTCCTTGTTCTTGCTGAGGACCAGGCTGTGGTTCCCAGCACCCATATGGTAGTAAACTGTGTTCCAGGAAATCCTACTGTATCCCTTGACCTCCTTGGGCATCAGACACTCACATGGTACATGTGCATATGTGCAGACAAAACACACACACACACGGATAAAAGGTCCTGAGCCACTACCAGGGCCTTGGTTAGTACCGTGCTGCCAGCACAGGATATGCTCAGTGCCAGAGACAGGCAAGCCTGTGTTTGGTGCTTGAGCCTTGCAGACAGAAAGTGCTTGGCTTCTAAAGCAACTTCCAGGATTGAATCTCAAGGAAAGAAGCTGTCACTCTTAGCCAGTAGATGATGAAGCTTCCTGTACGGGTTAAAGGTTGTGAAAGAAATGCTTTTGGAACATACCGTATTTTTAATTTCTTAAATCACATGCTTCCAGTTTTACTTGGACTGACTTTCTTCTTCTCAAAACAGTTCTTGGAGTCGCACCCAGCTTGTCTCATCTGCTGAGTCCGTCCCTCCCCTCCGCGCTGTTACACTTCAGTAAAGCACAGCAGGTTTGTACACAGCTCTGGGTACTGAAGCACTGAAGGTTCCAAGTGAATACGTCACCTCCCCCGACCCCCATGACAGGATCTTATGTAGCTCAGGATGACCGTGAGCTAATTCTCCTGCCTCTATCTCCCAAGGATGGGGATGACAAACGTGCTAGGCCTTGTCAACAAGTTAACTAAGCATTGTTCTTTTTAAAGACATTCTGCCTGCCCTCCTTTGTGGCACTAGGGATTGTCCCAGAGTTTATTGATGCTGCCAAGTGCTTTCCTGCTGACTGACATCCCTAGCTTTCTTTATTTTAACTTTTGATTTTGTCATAGTGTCTTACTGTAGCTGCCAAGGCTGGCCTTTAATTCATACTGTAGACAGGTGGACCTTGAGCTTGTCAACCTCCTGCATCAGCCTCCTGAGTAGCTGGAATTATAGGCCTGTGCATCTGTACCTGGCAGAGAGCACCCTTTAACAAGGATAGCTCCACAGCATCACAAGATGAGTGTGTAACCCAGTGCTGATGAAAACAGCACACAGGTAAACTTACTTGTGGAGTATTAAGAACAGAGTGCTTATTTTCTGGTAATTTTTGCTAGATAATCAATAGGTTCCCCCCCCCCCCGTGTGTAGTCGGTACCGGGGGAGATGGGCGGACTGTGTACCATGGGTGTGGCAGTCAGAGGACAGCCTTGGGTGTCAGTCCTTTCCGTCTCCGTTATTTGAGGCAGGAATCTGCTGTTCGCCGCAGCATATGCCCGGTTAGCAGGCTCAGGGTTCTGGGGATTCTCTTTCTCCACCTTTCCATAGGAATGCTGGGATCACAGGCTGGAGTTTTTGTTTGTTTTTTTGATGGGTTTATGGGATTCGAACTCTGGCCTTCATGCTCGAATAGCAAACACTTTACCCATTGAATCATCTCCCAGTCCTAAAGCAGTAGTTTTTAAAACAAAGCATTTTATATAGTCTCAAAGCAAATTGAAAGAAATGAGCAATAACTCCTGACTTTTAAATTTTAATCTGTGATATAAGATAAAATAGTTCAGTTTGTGAGAGCAAAGAATATTTTTCTTACGTTTTCACATATTTTAAATATGCACTTCGACATAAGTATCTGCCATATTGGAAATGGACATTGCTTGTTAACTTAATATATTTAAAGATACACAGACCTATACAAAAATCATTTATGTTATTACTCCTATAGGATGGAAGAAATATGTGGTGCTGTTTTGTTATTTTTGAGACGGGGTCTTCCTAAGTAGCCCAGGCAGACCTCCAACTCAGAATCCCCCTGCTTCTGCCTCACAGGCAGAGGGATTAAAACTGTGTGCCACCACCCCAGGTTATAAAACCAGCTTTCTAAAGGGAGAGAAGGGAGACAAAGAGCCCCGCCCACACCCGAAGCAATTATTCTATTGCTTCAGTAGAACACCGCTTAGGCAGAAGGGTTTGTTTTGACTTTTGGGTTCAAAGGGGTTGAGTCTGTCTGTTGTGAAATGCGTGACACCGTTGGTCAGAGGAGGCATGGTGGCAGGAGCAGGAAGCTGACAGCTCATTTTTAATCAAGATATAGGAAGCAGAGAAAAGAACAGGAAGTGGAGGTGGGCCACCTTCTAAAGGTTCCAAATCATGCACCAGTTAAGGATCATTTCTCATTCACCATACCATTTTTTTTTACATCTTTGCTATCTCATTCAGGACTCCTGTACAAAGCATTGTCATAGTCTCCATTGTTTCAAGGAGCATGAAAAGTCAGATGTGGCGGCTTGTATCTCTAATTTCAATACTGGGTGGGGGGGAGGGGCAAGGCTGGAGAACTGCTGTGTTTAAGACCAGACCAGGCTACGTAGTAAATTTTGGGTCAGCTGGCTCCTTGGCCAGCAATGTTTTCTCCCTGAGTCCCACATAACTGGCCCAGGCTCTCCCTGAACAGCCTTCAAATCTCAGCACACAAGTTAGGGCCCCAAGAATGCTTCCCATGAGTCTTCCCATGAATCTAAATAAGATTCCCCAGTGTCTGATTGTGTATCTGCTTGTGTTTTCTTCCTCACCGAATTTCCATTAAAAGTCTCCTTCCCCCAGGGATATGATACATAGGGGCCAATCATTACTGCATTTCTCGGTAGGGTAGCACACTGTTCTAGTCATAAAGTGTGCAACAAATCTTGTCAAATGATTAAATCAATACATTCATATTTGACCATCACTAAAGCCAGGAAGGGGCTGAGGGAAGGCAAAGGAATGGGTCTGGAAGCTGCTTGGCTACCTCTTGCATATTAGGCATATTACCCGGGGGTGAAAGCAGATTATTTGTATTAAGAAGTGGTCTTTTTCAAGACAGGGGTTCTCTGTGTAGCCCTGGCTACTCACTCTGTAGACCAGGCTGGCCTTTAGCTCAGAGACCGACCTGCCCCTACCCTCCTGAGTGCTGAGATTAAAGGTGTGTGCCCCCAAAGCTGGCTAAGATATGGTTTCTTTATTTCAGACTAACTTGAGAATTGAACTTTAAGATGAGTTGATTATCCAACCAATAGTTCTTGCAAATGTAACTTCATGTCGCATTAACTCCGCAGAGCTCGGTGGTGGGTAGTGCGGCACCCTTCCTCCTTCAGAATCTTTCTCACCTACCTTTGGTACAGCAGCAGCTGATGAAGTTTGATAGTACCCATGCTAATAATGTAAGTATTTCATAGACTCAGCCCACGGATGGGGGAGGTGGGGGTGAAACTTCCCACACGCATCCATCTTTCCTGGGCTCTGTTTTTTTCCACCATGGGAAACCGTCTCCCACTGCCCCTTCTTTTGTAGAAGCCTGGCTTGCTGGGAGACCCTCCCACCATGGTGCTGCAGCCTGCACTGGCAATAGGGCCACCGCTGCCCCTGAAAACGGACCTGGGACACCATGGAGAAGCACACAAAAGTAAATAACCTATTTGCCAAGAAGTTCCCATTTGTTGAGACTTGAGCCTTGTTGCCTCGTCTGATAATGTTATTAATGGGCTTGACTCCATGCCAAGAGGAGACGGTCCCTGCTGGAGGGTTTTTAATATTTCATGCAGGTTCACAGCAGTGCCAGGAGAGGACACAGCTTCCATTTGACGCCGACATGCTGCCCACTGGGCTCACAGCACAGGCCTCAGGTCTCCGTTTCAATTCCGCTAAATAAGGAGCCCCAGCCCTTATAAAAGGAATAGCTAGAGTTTGTAAATTTAAGTCCTGTTGACTTGAATCAGTTTTAAATTATGTCTCCAAAAGGAATATCTATAGTTTGTAAATTTAAGTTCTGTTGACTTGAATCAGTTTTAAATTATGTCTCCAATTTATTACTTGACAGAAAGCTGATATACGTGCTCTGGGCACAGGACAGGCTGGACATTTTTGTTTTAGAGAGCTATAAATATACCAGGGTTTATTTTTTTGTAATTTAGAAAAGTGCCTCCAGTTAGAAGCTTGATTGAAGGGTTAGATGTGAGCGTGCAGAGTGAAAACAATACCAATGGTAATTCAAGTTCTGTAAACATAAGTAACTCATTTAGTCTCTCACGCATACAGTTGGCTAATCAAGTGACCAAATAGCGCAGTCGATTCTGACGATTGAAATTGACCAGGCAATGATTAAATTGCCAAGAAATTTCTTGGTATGATGGGATTCTTTATCCTAAAAGCTTTGGCTTTCCATGACTAAGATCTAATGAAAATGTATATTTCTCATGTTAATATTAAGTAATGGATAGTTTGCTGTTCCCTGTGCTGCCCTAAGAACCCTGCAGAATTTACTGTCTAAATATATTCTAAAAGATGCAGGAGCCAAAGTGAGTACCCAACCGGCTAGCAAAACTGTTTGGTGAATTTGTAAAATGGAAATTTAATTTATTCATAAAAGTGAAGTGTTTCAATTTCTTTTTGGCCTCTTGTAAGCTTTTTGTTTCATTTGTGTTATTTTGAGACAGGGTCTTACTATGTTGCCCAGCTGGTCTTGAACTTATGAATTCACTTGCTCCTGAATATTTGGGAGACGCATGTCACCATGCCTGGCTCCCCCAGACAGTTTTGTCTGCTTGTTTGTGTACTGGGGCAGGGCACACGTGCTGTGGCATGTAAGTGGAATGTAAGAACCGTGTGCGGGAGTGGGTTCTCTCCTGTCCTGTGGGTCTTGGGACTTAAACTCCGCCTATGGCCAAGCACGTTTCTTTGCTGTGCCATCTCCCCAGACTTACAGCAAGATTGCTAAAAGTGATTCCCAATTTTCCTGTGGAAACTTTTATTCTTTTCAGGGTTTTGTTTCCTATAAGTAAGAATATATAATTTTTGTTGATTGAGTGTTTGTGTTCCCAAGTATTGACTTCAAGGATAACAGTGGCATGCTCATGTTTAAAAACCAGATCTCTCGCCGGGCGGTGGTGGTGCACACCTTTAATCCCAGCACTCGGGAGGCAGAGGCAGGCGGATCTCTGTGCGTTCGAGGCCAGGCTGGACCGATAGCCTCCGAAACAATACAGAGAAACCCTGTCTCGTAAAAAACAAAAAAAAAAAAACAAAAAAAACAAAAAAAAAACCAACCAGATCTCTCCACTTAAAAATAGTGTTGATTTATAGTATATATGGATTTCTATGAGTAAATCCTCAAAGGAGCCACTGCCAAGGTCAGGTTGCCAGTATAAAGACACTGAGCTCAAGCTGAGAAGAGGTGGGTACAGCCAGCTTTCAGTAGGTGGTGACGGACTAACCAGGCTTGCTGCTGAATCCACCATTAACTGAAAAAATGCCGAACGCTAAACACCAGATCCAGTTACTCTCTTCAGATATGGAAGCAACCAAATTGCAGTGATTGGACATTTTTAAGTACTAATATAATTGAAATGTCAAAGTCACAAGCTTCTAAAATAATAAAACATATCATTGAAATGTGATGTTGAGGTTACCTTAGAAATTCTTGACATGTTTAAAAGCATTATTGTCAGTTTTTGTTTTCTTGTGAACTTATAACCTCTGACCTCACCTGTTGGATTTATCAGTTCTCTAACGGGTACAGAAGGGGGCTACTATGTCTTGTGTAACCAGGGTTCTTCTGCCTCTTATGGTTCGTTTACTACAGCATCTAATCTGATTCCAACTCAAACGACACTGGCAGCCGGGCTGGGCATGTTACCATTCTTCCCACACCAACTCACTGCCGGACAAGCCGGGCCGGGCTGTGGGACCACTCAGGAGAAGCAGTCAGCCTCAGCGGGCATCACCGAAGCTAGTTTCTCAGGGTCGCAGCAGTATCTGCAGACCTTCCCAGGCCTTCCTTTTGGAGGCCCGCCGGCAGGCCAGCAGAAAACACAGCAGAGCCAGACAAAAGGCACAGAGGTAGGTCCAAGGGCAAGGAAGCACCCAGAGAAGTGGATATTCCCCTGGCTGCCTTTCCTGTCCTTTTTGTCCCTGAAACATGACATCGTTCGACCTCAGCCAGTCTCCATGTAATGCTTCCCACATCTTCTAAGCTGCAGCTCCAGTCGAGACTTCTCTTGAGCTGCTGTGAATATGCTAAGGGTTGTATTTCTTACTCATTTAGATGTTACCAGTCCCTGGAGCCTAGTAAGCATTTACTCAGTAAACCGAATGGACGAATACATGGCTATGTGAATGCCACGTCACAAGCAAACCTGGATTTCTTTGAGGCTTACAAAGATGTCTGGAGACAGGTTCTGCTGTCCGGACACAGCGGTATTGGCCAGCAAAGCATCAGGAACATAAGTGACTGTGGCTCTCACATACAGAAATGAACACTCAGAAGCACGTGTCTTCATTTGAAAAGAAAACTAAGCTACTAGCTTTGTCTTATCTGTATTAACTAGAACTGTGGTTTTAAAAGCCTTTGACCAGTGAACGAATAGTAAGCTGTCTCTCAGGAGACTATGGAACGTAATGAAGGCTCAGCCCTCCATTCCATCCTTCTCTGTTAAATGTGTTAGAGTCTTTGCTCCGACTAAGTATATGAAAATAGTGTGGCCTGCGTTTCCAGTGTCATCTACCATTGTCATCTAAGAGCTAAGAGTCAGTTTATGAATGCTCTCTTTCTCTGGCTTGGTATTACTTTTAGGACTAGAGATGAACAAACTTGTCTCATTTGGTTTTAGCCACATAATGAAAAATTTAAATCTTACAATAAATGCTAATACCTGAATTTCTAGAACTATAATAGAGAATTAGTTTTTTTTCTTGCAAAGATGAATTCTCTGAGATCAAATGAGAAGACACAAGATACCTCAGGTTCTATTCCACTTGTAGAATTCTTTGGTTAGAGTGTATTTGTTTAATTTTTTATTGAGGTTGTTGAGACAGGGTCTCTCTGTGTAGTCCTGGCTGTCCTGGAGCTTGCTATGTAGACAAGGCCAGCCTCGAACTCACAGAAATCTACCTGCCTCTCCCTCCTGAGTGCTGGGATTAAGGGCATGAGCCACTGTGCCCAGCTAGGGCCCATAAATGATTGCACTGTACAAGATAAATTGAAAAATATTTTTGCCTTTTTAATTTTAGTAAATGTTTTAAATAAGTTTATTAGTTGTAGAGAGTGAAGAATCTGCTGTGACTTTGTGTGACCTTTCTGTGTGTGCGTATGATATACTGTGACACTCATTCTTTTTTATACCAGTCACTAATACTCATCTTTTGTTTTTGGTGAATAGGCTGCCTCTAAGAATCAGACTTCACTCTTGGGAGAACCACCAAAAGAAATTCGGCTCAGTAAAAATCCGTATTTGAATTTGGCCAGTGTGTTGCCCAGTGTGTGCCTATGTGAGTGAGGACTCTGCATCAGCAGTGAGGTTTCCCTGAAGACATTTCATAATGATTTTGACTTTTGTCTTAACTCAGTTGATGCTCATGATGTCTATTGACAAAACTAAGCCCTAATAATAATAGGGCTTAATAGTTCTTTAACAGTAATCCCATTATTTTAACAAAGAAAATTAAAACACTTCATTTTTTTAAATTAAAACACTTTATAAAAGAATCTTTACAACAGTATTTTCATTAAGGGCAAAATAATTTTGATTATTAAAAATAATGAAAGCAACAAATTATTTGAAAAATTATAATTATTTACAGGGTAGGTAGAATCATTATTCTAAACTAGAGACTGAAGCCTCTAGATGATGTAGCCAGTGCACTCATATACCCTAGCTGTGTGACTGCCAATCAGCAGAAATGGAGTCTTTGGTGGTATGAGTCAACTCTTATTCAACAGTCCTAAAAACAAGTCAGCAGTGGGAAAACCAAAGAACACATTAATGCTGTCCAGCAGGGAAGAGGCTGCATACATAGAATGGGACACTGTGACCTTTAAAAAGCAATAACGATAGAAGTTGTCTGCATCACTCACTTGTGAGTAGTCTCTAGCGATGATTTTAAATGGAAAAGTAAAAATGAGTGTCACACAATAACAGATCCTCTTTTAAAACCCTGATCGAACAGAGTTCGATGCAAATCTGAGAAACTATAAACTGCAAGGAAAGGATTAAAGGTTAGTGTAATTTTTAAAATACATTTTTGGCATTTTACAAAGTCTCCTCTTGAGCATTAGTTTACAATTTTTTCCAAATCTAGGAATGAGTGCTCTTCTAGTATACCTGCAGCATACTGATCTCACCTGAACACTGACAATTATTGCCTTAATAACAGTGTTTGATTTGCATTGTATATGCCTTAGTGTAGACCAGTGGTTCTCAACCTGGGGGTCATGACCCCTTTGAAGGTCTCATACCAGATACCCTGCATGTCAGATATTTATATTGCAATTCAAAACAGTAGCAAAATTACAGTTATGAAGTAGTAATAAAATAACTTTGTGGTTGAGGGTCACACAACATGTGAAACTGTATTAAAGGGTCACAGCTTTAGGAAGGTTGAGAACCACTGATGTAGAATATCTGTCTATGGGGTTGGGTATATAGTTCAGTGCCAGAGTGCTTGCCTTGCATTCTAGAAGCTGTGTTTCAATTCTCAGTACAGAAATATATTTGGGGGTTTCCATCATAATTTTACCTATATGGCAAGCTTCCATTTTCAGTTGCTGAAATAAATGAAGTGATATAGAATTTCTCCTAGAGGAAATAAATACAAATATATATTAGCACCAGATTTGAAGCAGACTGAGTTAATGTGTTCTGTGCTGTTTATAATTTAACAAATCACTGAACAGTCTTTCTTTTGTCTTTAGCCACTGCAAGTAAAGGCACACCACAGAAGACTGGAATTGCAAGCAACATTCTGGATGCAATCTCTCAGGGAAATGAGTCCCAGCACGTACTGGAGAAATGCATCACTTATGCCCCACCTTTCGAGGATTATGGCCAGGTAAGTGATGCCCAGGTCATAATGACAGGCAGAGATTGGTCCAGCTCTACACTGAGGATAAATCATGACTGCTTTCGCACTGTGACAACACAGGATAAATCTCTTGTTCATCATTTAAAATTTGGGAATAGGTTCAAGAAACTGTTTAATATTATTTTACACCAAATATTTTCCTCACAGTTTTACTAGTCCTCTTCAAGCTACAGCCCTTAGACCTTATCCAGTTTTTTGGTTGGATATAACCACATCCATTTGCTTACATGTTTTCTATGGTGCTGCCATATGCAATAGAATAGACTTACATGGCTTGCAAGGGTAAATATTTACTTCTGACTCTTTCCTAAAAATTCTGCTGACCTCTTTTTACATGAATATAAACCTTAGAAACCCAAGGGTGTGGGGAAACACCCTCCATTCTTCATCATTACTTAGAGAGGGAGGAAATGTTCACATTTATAGGCATTACTATATTAACTTTAGTAGGGTATTTGATAGCCCAGGCTGGCCTTAAACTCGCAGTGCTTCAGCCTCTGGAATTCTGGGCTTATATGTGTGCACCACCACGCCCAGCTGTATACCAAAGTCACATAGCATAAAAGAAGGCCCACCCTCAGGCCCTATAGGAGGTTTGTTGCAGGGCTCCTGTGGATACCCAGTCTGGGGATGCGCAGATCTCATGTGTATGGTGTCATGTGTGCAGTCTGTGGATGCTCAGGTCTCATGTGTATGGTGTCATGTGTGCAGTCTGGGCATGCTCAGATCTCATGTGTGCAGTCTGTATGCCCAGATCCCATGTGTATGGTGTCATGTGTGCAGTCTGGAGATGCTCAGGTCTCATGTGTATGGTGTCATGTGTGCAGTCTGGGGATGCTCAGATCTCATGTGTGCAGTCTGTATGCTCAGATCTCATGTATATGGTGTCATGCGTGCAGTCTGGGGATGTTCAGATCTCATGTATATGGTGTCATGTGTGCAGTCTGGAGATGCTCAGATCCCCTGTGTATTGTGTCATGTGTGCAGTCTGGGGATGCTCAGATCTCATGTGTGCAGTCTGGGGATGCTCAGGTCTCATGTGTATGGTGTCATGTGTACAGTCTGGAGATGCTCAGGCCTCATGTGTATGGTGTCATGTGTGCAGTCTGGGGATGCTCAGATCTCATCTGTAAGGCGTCATGTGTGTCAGGCTTTGTGGGCAAATCAACTTCATGTGTTGAGCCTCTTTAGATTACATATAACAGTTAATGTATTGGAAATGCTATGTAAGTACTGTTGCTTAGGGAATGATTACAGAAAAAAGCTGCATGTTTTGGGTGTGGGTGCAGTTTTCAAGTATTTCCAACATGCATTTGATTAAATGTATGGTTACAGAACCTATGAACTTGGAGTATTATTCTAAATTATGTTCAGAAGATAAATTGGTAAGATGAAGTAGTTGCCTGCTTAATTAAAAAATGGGGGTCAGAGCTGATGTCATGAGGAAGACACTCTTACTTCCTAAGGTTCCATTTTTGTGAATGTATTCAGTAATGACACAGATATGCACACTGTAGATGGATTATATGTAAGGGACAAAAGTTAAATTTTGTTGATAAAGTCATTTATGGTAACATATAGTTGTGAAGATTAGAAACAACAAAATATTCAACTAAGACTGAGTAAACTAATAATGTTGTTTTTTTTAACCAGTAAATACAATTTGGAAATTTAAAATGCTGTAAAATAATGTGTAAACATATGCTAATGTTTATAATAATCATATTGATAAAATAATAATCACAAACTATAGATTTTATAGAACAATGTGTACTTTTCAAAACAGAAGAAACACAATACATTTTTAAGAATTTAACAAAAGAATGTACTTTCAGCATGAAAGAAAGTTCATTTCTGTACCAAGCTTCTCCAAGTATGACATTCGAAGTTAGTCTTCTTTGACTCTGCCTACTGAGTTCTTAGATGGCGGCTGTGAAGCTGATCCACACAGGGTCTGTACGGAGCTCGTTACTCTCCTGTGGAGAGGTTCTCAGGTAGACCCTTGCATCTCTGTACTTTTAACACTCATCACTTCCTTTGCAACGTGTCCTAGTTTGCTTTTCTGTTACTGTGATAACCAAGCCCAAAAGCAAACTTGGGGAGGATAGGGTCTACTTGACTTGTATTCCAGATCAGAGTCCATCCTTGAGGGAAGTCGGGCCAGAGGGGCCTGGGAGCAGGAGCTGTGGAGGAATGCTGCTCATTCTTTGGCTTGCTGGACTAGATTTTTTTATACCCCAGACCCACCTGCTTAGGGATGGTGCCGTCCGCAGTGTACTGGGCCCACCCACATCAATCATTAGTCAAGACAGTCTCTTACAGACTTGGCCGCTGGCCAGTCTGACCTAAGCAGTTTCTCAGTTGAGATTCCTTCTTTCCAAATGACTTTAGGTTTTGTCAAGTTGACAAAAAAGTAGGCTGGGCAGTTGGTGGCCTGCGCCTTTAATCCCAGCACTTGGGAGGCAGAGGCAGGCAGATCTGTGTTCCAGGCCAGCCTGATATACAGAGAGAGTTCCAAAGCAGCCAAGACTACACAGAGAACTTCTGTCTTGAAAAACAAACCAAAACAACAAAAAAGTTAATCAGGACACAATGTAATAAGCATTTATCATCATCATCATCATCATTGCTGAGGGACAGAGTTAAAGGCTCTGTGTGGTAGGCAAGCAAGCTACTCTTGAGCCATAGCCCAACTCCGCTTTTAAACATTAAAAAACAAACCTTCCAGGGATGGCTCTCAGGCTCTTACCCATGTTAGACTATGTAAACATTTAATCTTTCTGCCATGTCTGTGAATGTTAAACCATCCCCTTTGTGGCGCAAGTGGAAGAGCACTTGCTTAATGAATTCTTCAATCCCCACAGTCTGTGAATGATTTCTCGGGCTGCAAAGCCCATGCTGCTATAGTAGCTCCCAGAAACTCTATTGAAGGATTGGGAGAGATGGTCGTGTCAGATACTAGATAGCATAGTTTCTCTTTTTAATAAAGCCATCACACTTAAGAAGTTTGATAGTTGATGTTTCTGATGATTGTGAAGTTATTTGCAGAAGACCCTGATAAAATCTGAAGTAGACACTGGGGAGGTATGGGCAAGTGTGTTTGAGACCAGCTTGGTCTACAAAGTGAATTCTCAGACAGCCAGGGGTGTTACACAGAGAAACCCTGTCTCAAAAAACTAAAAAGAAAAAATCTGGGAGTAGATATGAGAAAAAAAGTAGCTTCTATTTGAAAATATTAGAGAATAACTTCAGTAGAAACTGAAGAAGGCGGGTCCTGGCAGAGGGGATTCCTCTGGGAGACAACCATGTTTCTATAGCTTTTTGCTTGATTCCTTTCTTTATGCAAAATCTGCAGTCTTTCTGGCAGAGTAAGACTTGGTACTGTTGTTGAAGCTGTAAAGTGAGAGGTTCTGGAACAGGAAATGGCATCAGTGGGAGCAGTAGCTGAGAGCCCTACATCTTGCAGGCAACAGGAAGTTGACTGAGACACTCAGCTATGGTATCTTGACCATAGGAAACCTCAAATCCCATCCCCAAAGTGACATACTTCCTCCAACAAGGCCATACCCCTTCAACAAAGCTACACCCTATGAGATAATGGGGGCTAATTACATTTAGACTACCACATGGAATATAAAATCTTTGAAAAACTAATGGTCAAAATTTGCCTCAGAAAGACTTGGAGATCTAGTGGGCATAGAGTCTCCCCTTGTGAGGCAGGAATGTTTTATTTCAACGCATATTTACGAAGAGATCTAGAAAGAAACTGGGAACAGCAATGCATGTTGTCTTGAGAGGCTCTTCAGCCTTGGCACCAGTGACATCTGTGACTGAATAATTAATTGTTGGAGCCTCCCTGCACATCCCATGATGTTCAGCAGCCTCCTTGTCTTGTATCCACCTGACTCTGCCGCAGTGATAGCCACTGTTGGGACCAGTGAAATGTGAAGAGTAAAGGACTGTTTTCTCCATTTCCTGATTTAATAACAAAAATCATACAACAGTATTGGTGGCTTTGCAATGCATGCAGATAGAGTTACTTTACAACACTATGTCAATAGTTTAATTGCAGTTGAATTCTAAAAACATTTGATCAAAGAATATTATATGGGAAAATTTAATTTAAAAAAGTTTACAGAATGATCTAGGTGTTGAAGGAACTCTGCCTAAACATTAACTGACTACATAAACCAATGGAGTAGAATTTGTAATAGCCACATATAAAAAGGAGCACTGACTCCTCACAGTTCAGAAAAGCTGATGAACAGTAACAGGCAAGAGGGGTCTATTGCCAGTCACATTGTTTTCTTTTAAAAGATCCTCAGGTTCAGTAACAACAACAACAAAAAATCAATACACATGTAAAGAAATCAGGAAATGTGGCCCATTGTGGTGGTTTGAATAGGAATGTTCCCCCATAGGCTCATAAATTGAATGCTTGGTCTTTAGGGAGTAGCACTACTTGATAGGGATTAGGAGGCGTGGCCTTGTTGGAGGAAGTGTGTCACTGGGGGGGTGGGCTTTGGAGTTATACAGTCTCAAGCCAGGCCCAGTGTCTCTGTCTTCCTGCTAGCTGCTGATCCAAATGTAGACCTCTTAGCTCATTTTCCAGCACCACGTCTGCCTGCATGCCACCGTGCTTCCCACCATGATAATAATGGACGAAGACACTGAAACTGTAGTCCAGCCCCAATTAAATGTTTTCCTTTGTAAGAGTTGCTGTGGTCATGGTGTGTCTTCACAGCAGTAGAACATTGACTAAGACACCTGTGCACAGGAGAAGCAGGTAATACAAGATGCCCATAAGGTAGCCTGGATGTGGACTTGGGAGACAGTGATCTAAAACACCAGCAAGGAGTTAAAGAGAATCACATGTAAAGACCTTAGGCAGTGTGAGAGCCGTGCCACTCTAAGCAGTATCAACAGAGGGGATTACAAAACGGTCAAATGGAAATTTCGAGTTTAAA